GGGAGGCTCGAGGGGAGGCTCTCTGGGGGAGGCGCTGCTCCCTTTCTTTCGGGGAGGGGGTCCAAAAGACGGGGTGCAGGAGAGTGGGGGGGCTCTACGCCTGTGGGGGGGGCAGGAGGGAGGGGGGAGCGTGCGTCGCCTCGCCCCCCACCCAGCGGCACAAGACCGGAAGTCGGAGCTGGGGGACGAGCGAGTGTGCGAGGGAGCGGGCAAAAGGAAGCAGCCCGGCCGGAAGTGCCCGCCTCCTCCTCCTCCTACCCCCCCTCCCTCCGACCTATCGCCGCTCGAGGACGGCGGTGAGCGACAGGCGCCCTCCCGGCGGGCCAATGAGGAAGAGGCGGGGCGGGGGAAAAAGGGGGAAAGCATCTGAGATGCCAGTGGGAGGAGGACGTAGACTTAGAAAAAGGTCAAGGGGGGCAGCACTTATCGTCGGGAGGTCGCTTTCGGGTTAATTTTCACCCTCTAGAATCGAGATTTCATTCTTAAAGCCCCGCTTCACACTCGAATAGATCGCACCGCCTTGCAGGCGGATAGGCTGTATCCACAGCGGATAGCAATACAGTGAGAATAGGGAAGCCTATCCCCAAGCTGGTGTACGAACGAGCACGGGGGGTTTCTCTTCACGTTTCGTAGCTCTGTGGAGCTCCGGCTTGTCTCCCTCGCGCGTGCGCCTTAGGCACTCGTGTGTCTCGCTCTTTTTGGGGGGAGGGTAGCGCCCCGACAGCGCTCCCCCCCTCCAGCCCGCGCATGCGCCGTTCCGTCCTCTGGGCTTTCCCCTCCTTTCGAGGCGCAGTTATTCCGCAATAAGAGGCCCGCTTTGCAATCGCCCCGCATCCTGACCCAGGGGGCGGCCTGACCCCGCGCCCCTCACCCTTCCAGCAGTGGGCCTATTCTCACAACCGCTGTGAAAGCCGGGGATTCCTGCGTGTCAAGCAGGCACGTGTGCACGCGCCCTATGCAATAATTCCCCCCATTAATTATCAATGCAATTCATACTCGGCTCGCTGCATAAATGACCCCGAGGTTTTGCAATAAAATGTATATGTGTTGCGTGTTTGTATTCTTATGCACCCAAAGAGAAATCAAACTTGGCCAAGAAGCCTATTCTATTTTTCTATTCTATATCCTATATATTCTATTATTATTTCCTATGTTATTCTATTTTTCTATTCTATATTCTATTCTATATATTCTATTATTATTTCCTATGTTATTCTATTTTTCTATTCTATATTCTATTCTATATATTCTATTATTATTTCCTATGTTATTCTATTTTTCTATTCTATATTCTATATATTATTATTATTTCCTATGTTATTCTATTTTTCTATTCTGTTACTTTCTATATTCTGTTCTATATTGTATTATTTTCTATATTTAAACAGTAACACAGTTGGAAGGGACCTTGAGGGGTCATCTAGTCCAACCCCCTGCTCACGCAGGATACCTGTACTAGGGATTTGAACCGCTGAACTGCCGACTTTTCTGATTGACAAGCTCAGTGTCTTAGTCACTGAGCCACCTTGTCAGGGCATTATTATTCTATTCTATATATTATTCTATTGTTATTTCCTATTCTATATTCTATTCTGTATATTATTATTCCCTATTCTACTTTTCTATTCTATATTCTATTCTCTTATCCTTTTATTTTCTATACTATTCTATTATTTCCTATTATTTCCTATTCTATATTCTATTCTATTCTACATTCTATCTATATGTTCTGTTTCTCTATTCTGTATTATTCTATTATTTTCTAATTTATTCTATTATTTCCTATTCTATTCTATTTTATATTTATATTCTATTTTTCTATTCTATTACTTTCTATATTCGGTTCTATACTGTATTATTTTCTATATTATTCTATTGCTATTTCCCATTCTATATTCTATTCTATATTCTATTCTATATATTCTATTATTATTTCCTAGTCTATTTTTCTATTCTATAGTCTATTCTCTTATCCTATTATTTTCTATTATTTCCTATTCTGTATTCTATTCTGTTCTATTCTACATTCTATCTATATATTCTATTTCTCTATTCTCTTATTATTCTATTCTATTATTTTCTATGTTATTCTATTATGTCCTATTCTATAGTCTATTCTATTTTATATTTATATATGCAAATGTATGTGTGTGGATGTATGTGTATATATGTGGGTGTATATATGGTTGTGTGTGGGGGGGGTCTAACACACACACACACACACACATAAATACACATATACATACAGATGTGCATATATTTGCACAAAGTGGAGGAAAGCTATCCACATTCATAGCCATCAGCTGGACTTCAATTAGTGGCCAAAGTTATAATGTTTTTCACACTTAGCGACCGTTGCGGCATCCCCGTGGTCACCTGATCAAACTTCGACAATGGCCGCAGGGTCCCACAATCCCCTCTTTAGCAATTTTACGACAAGCCTAGTCAACGTGGAAGCCGGATTCGCTTTAACGGCCAGCCAGGCCGTTAAATGGGGCAAAACTCACTTAATGCTCTATCTTAGAAACGAAATTTTGAGCTCGCTCCTTGTCATAAGTCAAGGCATTATGATTTGCTGTTTTGTTAGTTTTTAATCTTCCTTTTTTAAAAATCTTTCCTGCTGTCTGATTTATCTCTGATAGCCTTGGACGTCTTTTTTTTTTTTAAAGAACATTTATTTTCTTGAAAAGAACATCTAGATTTATGTTTCAAATAAACAAACATATTTTAGAAAGGGGGGGGGGAAAGGAAACTTGAAAGTAATTATTCTGACTAACGAAACCAATTCGAAACAGGATTTTCTTGGATGAGAAATATATGAAATCCCTTTAAAAAAAAAAACCAAATAATTTCAGAATATTTCCAGAAGGGTTTAATGTGCCTTTCCAATTCTGGCCAAATCAAAGGCTCATAAAATTACGATGCCTTTGGAGAATACGTCAAAAAAGATAAATGATTAACCTTTTGTCGCTTAAAAATGCAGCCACAAATATCTAACCTAGCTTTTTTCTTTTCTTTTTTTTTTAAGCGTGATTTGTAGCCGTTGAAAAATACGGCCGAGGGTTTCATTACGCCGGGGAAATCAATCTTATTTTCAGAGAGGCTAAAAAGTAATGCAATTAGGAACAGCCTGGAGGAAATGAAAAAAAGAAAAGATCATTTAATTATCCTTTTTCCTCCGACACAGAATAGCCATCCTTTAAATATATATATATATATATNGTGATGGATAGATAAGGAGAAAGGTGGATGGATGGGTAGATGATAGACAGATATAGGGAAGGAAGGAAGGAGGGAAGGAAGGAAGGAAGGAAAACATAGATAATAAATAAGATTGGACGGATGGAGATTATGATGGATAGGAGACAGACAAACAGACAAGACAGAAGAGTCCTCACCTTGTAGACATCAAAGTTATCAATGATTGCATCGAAACAGGTGTACAAGTCATTCAGCAAAGCCACCACCTGGGAAAATGAAACATGGGGGCGGGGGGGGGGAGTAAACCAGGGAGTGACCAAGATTGCTGGAACAGACCAGGGTCTCTTCAACGGGATGACATTGCCACCCTTCCCAAAGGAAGAAACACATGATCTGCGGGACGGTGTCAAGCCCACTAGGGGCTTGGCCGGAGCCTTGATCAGCTCTTGTGAGTCCTCCCTGCGCTACCACCACCCCCCGGGCTCACCTGCATGGGCGTACTCTCGGCCGACAGGGCTGTGAACCCCACGATGTCGCTGAAGTAGATGGTGACGCTGTCGAAGGCCTCGGCCTGCACCGTCTCCCCCCGTTTCAGCTGCTCGGCCACCGAGCTGGCGGGGAAGGGTACAACGTCACGCCCACGGGTTAATTCGGGGGGTCGGCATGAAGTCAGAAAGGCTTCAGATCCTGGCTCGGCTGGGGCTGACCGAGGTCTGGCCGAGTTTTGTGGGGTATCAAGGGGTGGCGTGGATCGGTTGGTGTCGCACCACTCTGTCCTCCCCATCTCGCCTTGGCATCGCTGGGCATCCCCCCCCTCCTTATTCCTCCCCTCCCATTCCAGACCATTGGGAGTTTTCCCATGGCTGGGCATGAAAAATAAAGGGAGGGCGGGGAGAGAGAGAGGGTCCCTCCCTGGTGAGACGGTCGGCACATACATTTTAATAAACGAACAAATGCATCTTAATTCATGCACCGGTGCCTCCAGAAGTTGTAAATGCTCCAACAACTGGGAGTTTTTAAGAAGGGTAGATAACCATTTGTCTGAAATGGTATAGTTTTTCCTGCCTAAGCAGGGGGTTGGACTAGAAGACCTCCAAGGTCCCTTCCAGCTCTGTTATTCTATTCTATTCTCCAATATTTATTCTATTCTATTCTATTGTATTCTATTTCATCTCCAATTCTATTCTGTTCTATTACATCTCCTATTCTATTCTATTTCATCTCCAATTCTATTCTATTCCATCTATTCTATTCTATTCTCCAATATTCTATTCTGTTCTATTCTATTCTCCAATATTTATTCTATTCTATTCTATTTCATCTCCAATTCTATTCTGTTCTATTCCATCTCCAATTCTATTCTATTTCATCTCCAATTCTATTCTATTCCATCTATTCTATTCTATTCTCCAATATTCTATTCTGTTCTATTCTATTCTCCAATATTCTATTCTATTCCATCTCCTATTCTCCAATATTTATTCTATTCTATTCCATCTCCAATTCTATTCTATTCCATCTCCTACTCTATTCTATTCTCCAATATTATATTATATTATATTCTCCAATATGCTTTTCTTTTCTATTCTATTCTATTCTCCAATATTATATTCTCCAATATTATATTCTCCAATATTATATTCTCCAATATTATATTCTCCAATATTTATTCTATTCTAGTCTATTCTATTCTCCAATATTCTATTCTATTCCATCTCCTACTCTATTCTCCAATATTTATTCTATTCTATTCCATCTCCAATTTTATTCTATTCATCTCCTATTCTATACTATTCTATTCTCCAATATTCTATTCTATTCTCCAATATTCTATTCTATTCTCCAATATTCTATTCTATTCTCCAATATTTATTCTATTCTATTCCATCTCCAATTTTATTCTATTCATCTCCTATTCTATACTATTCTATTCTCCAATATTCTATTCTATT